AATATTGCGATGCATCTTCAATTGATACGTAACTGAAAGCAACTGAATTCATAACATAGCTGTATTTATTGAAATGACTTTTGGAGGTGTTGCCATGGAAACAAATACTGGACAGAAATATTACTATTACTGGCGTGGACACACTGACAAAAAGATCTTAGGATTCATCACACTTAAAATAACAAAATAAGGATAATCAGTGCCGTTTACATGGCCTCAGTGGTCCTTTAAGCCAATGAAATGAAAACATTCAAATGTATAACAAAGAAAGTTTTTACCTTCTTTGTTTTTAAAGGCAAAATGCATCCAAGCATCTGACTTGAAATGATATGGAGCCGGGCGAATTTTCTCAGGCACCTCCATGTTTTGTTCGCGAATGACTCGTCTCAGTATCCCGCGGCCGGACATGCTTGTGACACAAAGCAGCGGGCGTCAACACATCCGCAGCGACATCTGCTGGACTGGAAGTTGTATTACACTTGATTTGGCTGATGTGCGCCAACCATTAATGTATTTTATTTGTTCATTTTTTAAAATTAAGAATCGATTCTTGCCATCAAGAATCGATGCAGTAGATCACAAGAATCAGAATCGCGATGCATCGATATGACGATTAATTTGCACACCCCTAATTTATATATATATATATATATATATATATATATATATATATATATATATATATATATATATATATATATATATATATATATATATATACACTCACCGGCCACTTTATTAGGTTCCCCATGCTAGTAACGGGTTGGACCCCTCTTTTGCCTTCAGAACTGCCTCAATTCTTCATGGCATAGATTCAACAAGGTGCTGGAAGCATTCCTCAGGGAGTTTGGTCCATATTGACATGATGGCATCACACAGTTGCCGCAGATTTGTCGGCTGCACATCCATGATGCGAATCTCCCGTTCCACCACATCCCAAAGATGCTCTATTGGATTGAGATCTGGTGACTGTGGAGGCCATTTGAGTACAGTGAACTCATTGTCATGTTCAAGAAACCAGTCTGAGATTATTCCAGCTTTATGACATGGCGCATTATCCTGCTGAAAGTAGCCATCAGAAGTTGGGTACATTGTGGTCATAAAGGGATGGACATGGTCAGCAACAATACTCAGGTAGGCTGTGGCATTGCAATGATGCTCAATTGGTACCAAGGGGCCCAAAGAGTGCCAAGAAAATATTCCCCACACCATGACACCACCACCACCAGCCTGAACCATTGATACAAGGCAGGATGGATCCATGCTTTCATGTTGTAGACGCCAAATTCTGACCCTACCATCCGAATGTCGCAGCAGAAATCGAGACTCATCAGACCAGGCAACGTTTTTCCAATCTTCTATTGTCCAATTTCCATGAGCTTGTGAAAATTGTAGCCTCAGTTTCCTGTTCTTAGCTGAAAGGAGTGGCACCCGGTGTGGTCTTCTGCTGCTGTAGCCCATCTGCCTCAAAGTTCGACGTACTGTGCATTCAGAGATGCTCTTCTGCCCACCTTGGTTGTAACGGGTGGTTATTTGAGTCACTGTTGCCCTTCTATCAGCGCGAACCAGTCTGGCCATTCTCCTCTGACCTCTGGCATCAACAAGGCATTTCCGCCCACAGAACTGCAGCTCACTGGATATATATATATATATATATATATACACACTCACCGGCCACTTTATTAGGTACACCTGTCCAACTGCTCGTTAACACTTAATTTCTAAGCAGCCAATCACATGGGGGCAACTCAGTGCATTTAGGCATGTAGACATGGTCAAGACAATCTCCTGCAGTTCAAAGCGAGCATCAGTATGGGGAAGAAAGGTGATTTGAGTGACTTTGAACGTGGCATGATTGTTGGTGCCAGAAGGGCTGGTCTGAGTATTTCAGAAACTGCTGATCTACTGGGATTTTCACGCACAACCATCTCTAGGGTTTACAGAGAATGGTCCGAAAAAGAAAAAACATCCAGTGAGCGGCAGTTCTGTGGGCGGAAATGCCTTGTTGATGCCAGAGGTCAGAGGAGAATGGCCAGACTGGTTGGAGCTGATAGAAGGGCAACAGTGACTCAAATAACCACCCGTTACAACCAAGGTGGGCAGAAGAGCATCTCTGAATGCACAGTACGTCGAACTTTGAGGCAGATGGGCTACAGCAGCAGAAGACCACACCGGGTGCCACTCCTTTCAGCTAAGAACAGGAAACTGAGGCTACAATTTGCACAAGCTCATGGAAATTGGACAATAGAAGATTGGAAAAACGTTGCCTGGTCTGATGAGTCTCGATTTCTGCTGCGACATTCGGATGGTAGGGTCAGAATTTGGCGTCTACAACATGAAAGCATGGATCCATCCTGCCTTGTATCAACGGTTCAGGCTGGTGGTGGTGGTGTCATGGTGTGGGGAATATTTTCTTGGCACTCTTTGGGCCCCTTGGTACCAATTGAGCATCGTTGCAATGCCACAGCCTATCTGAGTATTGTTGCTGACCATGTCCATCCCTTTATGACCACAATGTACCCAACTTCTGATGGCTACTTTCAGCAGGATAATGCGCCATGTCATAAAGCTGGAATCATCTCAGACTGGTTTCTTGAACATGACAATGAGTTCACTGTACTCAAATGGCCTCCACAGTCACCAGATCTCAATCCAATAGAGCATCTTTGGGATGTGGTGGAACGGGAGATTCGCATCATGGATGTGCAGCCGACAAATCTACGTATATATATATATATATATGTATGAGAGTCATTGGTATTTGTTGATGGCATTAAAATTATTTCTGAGAGCATTACATGAGCATTAAAAAGCATTAAATTAGAGTTACTCATTCCTGTATAAAACCTTTTAAAGTATAAAGTAACTTAAAAAAAAGCAGCCAGATGCCGCTATATGAACTGAAAGCTCAATTTATTGACTATTTCTAAAATCCTCTGAGATAGGGCCAAGGATGAGGGAGGTCTTGTTGGTCTCCGTCTCCCGATACGCTCTCGCCTGTGTCCGACCTTTCAGACATTTCAACATCTTTTTCTGAATCCCACATTGTAGCATGGCATAGACAATTCACGTTAGCAGTTTGAAGAACACCTGCTTGCTTCTGATGATTTCCTTTAGCTAACCAATGAGTGTGCTGATGAAGGTTCTCAGTCATCCAACCAATGAGCTAACCAATGAGTGTTTGCGTTCTATGACTCATCCAATCACACTAGTTTTCACTAGATGTGGGCGGAGCCAATGATCTGCATCGGATGGAGCACATGACGGGAAATATATATTTAGAAACATTAAACCGAAGCCAAGAGTAACGAGTAACGTTTGTTTTAAAAATGTAAGGAATAGAAAGTACAGATACTTATTAATACTTACTTAATAAGTGATGGAGTAAAGTATAGATACCTAAAAAGTGTACTTAAGTACAGTGATGAAGTATTTGTACTTTGTTACTTGACACCTCTGGTCAGAGAGCCAGAAAAACATTTGGTTTCTAGGAGAAAAAGATCTGGAAAGCTGGAACCTCTCCACAGGACAGACTCTTTTCTCCCTGAGTGCAGCTGAATAACTGAACTAACGTCACATTCTTCAAGTGGTTTTCCTGATGCTTTGCTGCTCGTACACGATTCCTGTCAAACTAAGCGATGGCCCCGTTTATTTATTTACTTCCTGCTGAGTGACAAAAGAAAACTGGGGCTTAAATTGTCAGCAGGAAGCTAATATTTCTCTGCCGGGCGCCTTCAGGAGGCGGCAGCTCTGAAATCCTCCATCAGGTATGCGTTTCTTGTGTATGTGTGCACGGGGCTCTGCCGTGTCTCTCGGCTTGTTTGTGCAGGGATCGGGCTCCTGTTATCTTTCCCTGCAGCTATAGAGGAGGTGAGAAAACACCCCCACCTCCTCTTCCTCCTCCTCCTCTCTGTCTTTGACCCTTATTAGCCACGGTGAATGCTGGTGGCAGGCGATTCATTCACAGGTGAGTTGTGAGCGCACCTGTGTAGGGGTGTCTCCCCCACCCATCCACCCCTCCTCCTCCCATCTTTCACTCCCCTCACAATCCCTCCGATTCCCCACTTTTTACTGTTTTTTAACTGTTAGTGTTAAAAAACATCTATAGTTCTGCTGCTATAGGCTTAGACTGCTGGAGGACATAGGGACCCCTTTTTCATCATTCTGCTTCATTCTATCTCTATTCTCCCACTCTGCAGAATCTGTTAGTTCAATCTCTAACGTTCTGCTCTCTCTGCTTTTTCTCATAGTAGCTTCATCTGGTCTGTTCCTGTTTGGCTGTGACTCCATCCTCAGTGTTCTCCCTCCTCCATCTGTGCTCCTCATCGGGGATCACTTAGCGCCTCTGCTCTGTTTGTTTTGCTTGTCCTGTCATCCCCTCACCCTGCTTTAAGTAAGCCAAATAACTCTGTTGATGAGGGAATAGTGGGGTGACCCAAGCCAACGCCACGCCGACCCCCGGGGTCCCTAAAACACCCCGCCCAGACGGAAGGAGTCTTCTAAAAATCCAACCAATCAGAGGTGGAAGGGTGATGCTGCTTTAGGTAAACCGTGTCACTATTTGTTTCACTCCTTCGTTCTCTGGACAATTCAATTCAATTCAATTCAATTTATTTATATAGCGCCAAATTCACCACTCCTGTCATCTCAAGGCACTTTACAGTTCAACCAGATCATACAGTCAAATTGATACAAAGTTTTCTATCTAAGGAAAACCAGCTGATTGCATCGACTCATTGACTCAAATACAATCCCTCACACTAAGCATGCTTGTAGCAACAGTGGAGAGGAAAAACTCCCTTTTAACAGGAAGAAACCTCCAGCAGAACCAGGCTCAGTGTGAGCGGCCATCTGCCGAGGCCGACTGGGGTTCAAGGAGACAGAAGCAGAGATACAAAAAGCAGCTGTAAAAGGCGGCCCCGTCCAGGAAACACAATGACACAGATAAAAACCCACACATGCACTGATGGTGACCAACAGACCAGCAGCGGTTCCTGTACCTTTGCACGCCTTCCTGTGTGAGATGGGCTTGGAAAGGTCTCTGTAGTATCCCTCCTTGCAGTAGTGGCAGTGGCGCCCTGCGGTGTTGTGCCGACAGTTGAGGCAGACCCCCCCGCTCTTCCTCCCTGACAGTTTGTACAGCTCCATGTTGAATCGGCACCGTCGGGCGTGGAGGTTACAGTGGCAGGCTGCGGATGGAACAAAACACAATGCAAAGGTTTTAAAGGATCGTCCATTTCACTGCTGACCAAGTTTTAGTTCTAGTTGATAAACTTTACTGATATTTTGCTGTCATTTTATAACAAATATTTTCTTCTATCAAGCTCTTCTACAGTTTTGCTCAGAGTTTGATTCCATTCTTTGAAATATTTCTGGCCTTTTATTTGAGGTCTGCATAGATTCTTAACATGTAAGTCTACTTTTAATTCTAGGCTTAAAACTTTCTGTTAGGTTTATTCAATGATGATTATAAAGTTAATGTGTGTTTATGAAACATTTTTGCAAGGGGATGCTCCACTCCTGTCTCATGATCCAGTCAGGAGACCATCCTGCCTTGTCATTCTGATGGAGCATCCTGTCTTCATGAACTGATCAATCTTTCTGTCAGAACAATACTCTGTTTGTAACCATGCGTCATGTTCTGTTAATAAAATGCCCTGCAGAGGAGGTCCAGTGGGAGACAGTATGTTTGAGTCTGGGGTTCAACTGTCTCTCCTTCCTGCAGGAATTGTATCGATAATTCGTGTATTTCAGTTCTTCTTAAAAAAAACAACCTATTCATGAACCCGACACTTTCCTTTTTGATAAAGCTTCTAGTTAGAGTGGCTCAGGTTATCCTGAGCTATCTCTATAGTTCTGCTGCTATAGGCTTAGACTGCTGGAGGACATAGGGACCCCTTTTTCATCATTCTGCTTCATTCTATCTCTATTCTCCCACTCTGCAGAATCTGTTAGTTCAATCTCTAACGTTCTGCTCTCTCTGCTTTTCCTCATAGTAGCTTCATCTGGTCTGTTCCTGTTTGGCTGTGACTCCATCCTGGAGAGAAATATCAGCTGTGCTGCTGCCATCAACACCTTTGTTTCTAGATGTTGGAGCTTGGCCTGTTTTCCAGTGTAGTCCTGTTTCTCTGACTGTGACTAACTGGATGTGCTCTCTTCATCCTCTGACATGGGAGCTGGCTCGGAGCTCGTCTGCCTGGCTGTGTGTTTCCTGGACGGGGCCGCCTGTGGAGCTGGTTGACAGTTGCCTTTTGTATCTATGCTTCTCTTTCTATGTCTGCTTCTGTCTCCTTGAACCCCAGTCGGCCTCAGCAGATGGCCGCTCACACTGAGCCTGGTTCTGCTGGAGGTTTCTTCCTGTTCAAAGGGAGTTTTTCCTCTCCACTGTCGCTACAAGCATGCTTAGTGTGAGGGATTGCTGAAGAGTCAATGAGTCAATGCAATCAGCTGGTTTTTCTTAGATAGAAAACTGTAACATATCCAGGTAAAAGCTTGGTCTAAAAATGAGGATGCTAACCTGAGGAGGTTTTTAAAGTGATAAATCTGAAGCTAGACTCTCAACTATAAAATGTGTTTTCTTGTATTTTAGTTTTCTACGAATTTTGCTTAAACCAACAGGAGGAAATGTACCAGGAAATTTAAAGTTGGGGAAGAATGAGGTCAAGGATCTAACCCTTTTTTTCTCTTTTATCTGTGTCGTCTGCTCCTCTCCAGAGTGCATAACTGTACGGAGAGCGACGGTCTGGCGTTAGCGTTCCCACTAAGTGTGTGCGACAGCCCCCTTTCTGACGCTTGTTTACTGGCAAACACAGTTGCCAGAGCTGAGTTTAATTAGCCGGCTGATGTTTATTCATGCCTTTTTGGCAGCGCAGTGAGGCAGACATGCCCGGCTTCATTAAGGCCCCGGCCGTCCGAGACTCCGGTCCTCCTCCGCCGGCACCACAGACAGATTCATACATTATTAATATCTCTACTTCTAATCCAGTTTGGCTGTGAGTGTTCACACCAGTGTATCTGTCCAGGACTTTAATTTAGCTCTTTGCAGGAGGCCTCCAGTTTCACCACTTCAAATGTTTCTCCTCCTGATGCATTAACCGTTCTGTTCTTCTCTTCTCTTGAATATTTGTGTCTGTTTGGGAAACACCAGATATCTTCACCCCAAGGACCCAATTACTGTATCTACATATCACATACAGTAAACAAACACAGACAAGCTCTGCTTATTGTCAGTAACACTCTGTGAAGCAGCAGAAGATTAATCAGTGAGACTTTTGGGTCCTTCCTGCTTCTGACGGTTTGTTAACGAAATAAACTTAAAACAACTAAGATTTAGAACGCAGCAAACGTCCCCAGAAGAGCCTGAGTTCACGCCGTACATCCGTGGTGTTTGATAACGGACCGGCTGCCATTTCTCTCTTTACATTTACAGTTTAGGTCACTTCACCATTAAATATGTTTACGAAAACAGCCTGATTAAACTTTTTATACCATAAATGTCCCAATTTTCTTAATAAACACCAAGAGCCTCACTACGGAAGAGGATTAGGGCCACTGAAAAAAAAAAAAGTTAACTGATTTTTAAATTTTATTTCAGTTTAACATGGGAAAAAAGTCAGAATTCTGACTTTTTTCTCAGAATTCTGACTTTTTTCTTAGAATTCTGACTTTAATCTCAGAATTCTGAATTTTTTTATCAGAATTCTGACTTTAATCTCAGAATTCTGACTTTTTTCGCAGAATTCTGACTTTAATCTCAGAATTCTGACTTTAATCTCAGAATTCTGACTTTAATCTCAGAGTTCTGACTTTTTTATTGTCAGAATTCTGAATGAATTGAATAAAAAAAGTCAGAATTCTGAGATTAAAGTCAGAATTCTGACTTTTTTTATTGTCAGAATTCTGACAATAAAAAGAGTCAGAATTCTGCGAAAAAAGTCAGAATTCTGCGAAAAAAGTCAGAATTCTGACTTTTTTTATTGTCAGAATTCTGACTGAATTCTGTCAATAAAAAAGTCAGAATTCTGAGAAAAAAGTCAGAATTCTGAGAAAAAAGTCAGAATTCTGAGATTGAAGTCAGAACTCTGACAATAAAAAAATTCAGAATTCTGATATTAAAGTCAGAATTCTGCAAAAAAGTCAGAATTCTGAGAAAAAAGTCAGAATTCTGAGATTAAAGTCAGAATTCTGAGATTAAAGTCAGAATTCTGCGAAAAAAAGTTAGAATTCTGAGATTAAAGTCAGAATTCTGCGAAAAAAGTCAGAATTCTGCTAAAAAAAAGTCAGAATTCTGAGATTGAAGTCAGAACTCTGACAATAAAAAAAGTCAGAATTCTGATATTAAAGTCAGAATTCTGCAAAAAAGTCAGAATTCTGAGAAAAAAGTCAGAATTCTGAGATTAAAGTCAGAATTCTGAGATTAAAGTCAGAATTCTGCGAAAAAAAGTTAGAATTCTGAGATTAAAGTCAGAATTCTGCGAAAAAAGTCAGAATTCTGCTAAAAAAAAGTCAGAATTCTGAGATTGAAGTCAGAATTCTGGAATTTTACATATTTTAACTTAATTTAAGTTAAAATTAAATTAAATTAATCTTTTTTTATAAAATCATAATTAGAACAAAAAAAAAAGATAAATTTGGCTGTAAAAATTAGAGTGTTTCTTTGTTTGTTTAAAAAAAAACATTTAGCATGGTAAAACTGATCCTGTCTCAATCCCACTTTTCGTCAGAAAACAGCCTGATCCTGAATTTAATTTAATTTAATCATCCAAAACCTTAACATTTTTTCCTGCATTATTTTTATACTTTTACTGGAGTAAAAAGCTTAAGTTGAATCATATAACTTCTATAAAAGTGTTTCTAAGCAGCAGGATTTTTTACTACTACTGGAGTAATAAACAATAATACTTTTGACTCCTCTACCCTCCAATCTTAGCAGGATAACAGACAAAAACAAGACAGAAGATGTTTTGCCAGCTTTTACAAACCACAGCTGCATTTAAGAGGCAGTGAGCTTTCCACATACGCCAAGGCTAACTTTGAAAATAAAAATAATCACTACATATGGCCATAAAACAGTTAGCTACAACAAGGATGTATTTTGGGAACAAAATACCAAGATGAAGGCAGAAGCTATTACTGATTTGTAAAACAGGAAAGAAGATTTAGCATATTTTATGGGATCAGTCTGTGTATTTTTTAACAATTTCTAGCTTTTTGTCATTTTTAAGGCTGCAGTGAGTTGTGGCTCCAGTGGAATCCCCCTTAAGCCCATCTACAGCCAAAACCTGATCCATACCGCCTCCCAGACGATGATGAATAAAAGTGCACCGACGCTTCCTTTGACTCATAGATATTGTGTGACCAAACTGCCTTTTCTGTCACAATGGGTTCAATTCTTTCCTGCTTAGACAGCGCTCAACTGATCTGCCTCACTGTGCTAATAACATCAAGCTGAAAGTCCGTGCAGTCTGGGAATGCCATGAAGCAGGGCTGTCCGCTCTCCGACTCTCTCTGTAGGAAAGAATCGTTCTTTGCATGCCTGCAGGTAACAGGGATTGCTGCATAACGGTGTCAAGCTGGCACAGGATCAGTGTAGCACCTCAGACCAGCAGACAGGTTCCTGTTACACTTCACAGATTGTTTCACACCATCCCTCCATGAGGCTCCAGAGAGAACAGTGGGATAGCGCCGGAGGGCTTGTTGGTTATAGTAGAGCCACCATCTAAGCTGCTTGAGAAGGTGTGAAACCAAAGTTCTCATTGTCTGTCAGCATATTATGTCTCTGAAGATGAACAATTGAGAACCACTTTATCTAAACTCTCTTAGCAAGGAGCATCATTCAGGCTCGTTCACGTGTGACGCTCATCCAGAGCCCCTCAGCTTAGAGAGATACAAAAAGACTTCAGGTTCATTTTTCCTCTTCACTATGAAGTGAGGACTGATAGACAATCCTAGCGGTTTTATTTTCTTACTGTAGTTGGACACAGCAGGGAAAATAGAGGTATATATTTCTTCACTTATTCTTTGTAAACAAATGAAACAAAAAACAAAATGTATCTGTCGTAAATGACCAACAACTCGCCTTTATATTAACCTGCAAAAGCCTTATAATCCATGTTTTATACATTTGAACTAAAAGAGCAACAGCAATATTTTGTCCACATATATCTAATGTTTCCAAGTCGTAGGGAAG